AATCTATTTTGACACTTACTTTTGAAGAATGTGAATTGAGGGAAAGCACCTATTTCTTTTGGTTTACTGCTAAAAACAGCCCAGAACAATTAGCTCAGTTCTACGATGCAAACCTCAAGATTTAGTAATTTGAATCTCATCCATAAAGTCTAGGATAACTTCTTCCTCTAATATTTCTTCAATAGCAAGAACACTGAGAAAGATCTGTATTTTTCTAGCAGATGGGACTGGAGACCAAGCAAGTGTGCATTCCTGGATTTTATGCGGGCTGTTCCAAAAGGAGGTGGAATTGTCCTTCGTTCTCTAAAACAGGATGGTGTCCCCCCCACCCCAAACCCAGAAGTCTGGAGTTCTGCTGGGCGCCACATTTTCCACACATGGGCCCAGGACCTCCACATGGTTTACCAGTCTTTTCTGCCACTGCTGACTGTCTTTATATCACCTTCATGGGAAGATACTTTGTCTTAGTCTTCAGAGTCATATTTGTGAATCCAGACAGATGATGTCCCAGATAATAAGTCCCAGAAAATGACAGGCAGTCACAGTGTTTTTCTGACTATAAGCCCAAATCCTCACTGACCATCAAAGAAGTCAGTACATGATTCTCTAGGGCTATTGGACAGTGGGAGTTGTAGCTGCTCAGCACCTCCAGAAATGAAGTGCAAAAAAAGTGTGCCTAACTATGTACCAGAGCTTGCAGTCAAGTTTTAAAATGTTGGCCAGCCATGATATATAGCCATACTCAAAGATTTCCCCCCACCCCCAACTTTTTTGTGGGATGCTTAAACAAAGCACATACTCCAGGTGGGAAATTCCTACTTCTAAATTTCTGGTGCATTGTTTTGTGTTGCAGATATTGTGGGCATTCAGACACATCTTATGTTTATTTTAACTTCTGAAGCTTTAGTCAAACCACCAAAACAGAAAGGAAAAAACTCACCAGGTGAGAATATTCCATCACCATCTTTATTTGACCATCCAATAATCTCTCTCATCTTTTGAAGTGTTATTTGTTCCATGAGGACAAAAACAGGGGCAATTTCATAGGTAAACCTGCATAGATAAAGCAAACAAAACCGAACAAGATCAAATACAGATTCTAAAAACACACAATAAATTCCGAGTCTACGATTCTTTCTGAAAATGCTTAAGATTCCTAAAAGTGTTCCTATAAATTGAGGTTCCGATATTGCAACCTTTACCCAAGCAAAAATCCTCAGGAAGACAATACTGGAAATATTCGTCGATAAAAACTGCAGTATTAGCTCTTCTGCAACTTTCTATATAACCAACATAAGACCTAATGCTCACCATCAGAGTGCTGCTGACTGCTGTACAAGATACTGCCGTACATGATTGTACTGTAAAACATCTGTTTCCCAAAGTGCCAATTCCACACTTGTGGAATAGCACATCGCCAAATCCTTACGAAAACAGTGAACTTCACTGAGCTAAACACGACCATAATTAGAAGTACTGAGCCAGGGCTTCAAAGTCTAAGTACAATTAATTATGTGGATTTATTCTGTTGGTGATCTCCAAGGACAACTTATTTCTACAACACCATAAGATCAATAACTGTCAAGAGTAATTATAAATGATGATTTTCTAATTACCAATTACAAAAAACAAGTCAGCAGTCAACTATTGCATCCACTTAATGAGGGCAAAAAACATTGCATAGTCTGGTATGCCCTGATGTCACAGACAGATATGTGGATGGAAAGCGACAGCCATACAACCATTTTTGGTGATCAAGGTACATGGATAAATTGCTACTGCTGTAAACAAACTCTGCTTGCTGTGTATGCCAAAAAAAAAAAAAAAAAAAAGAAAAAAAGGGGGGGAAAAAAGGAAGCAGAAAGAAACTAAAAAAAATCAACTCGTGATTTCCAAATGAATCTATAAGAACATGACACCCCGACACTTTGGATCCGACTGATGTCTTCCACTTGAATAATTTTGCCAAAATGTATGTGTTGTCTATCTAATACTAAAATGACATTTTGAGAATAGGTATGGCAAACTTTAAGGAGACATGTGGTGTGAAGAAGGGAACGTGTCTGAAAAGCTTGTCTTTTATTTACAGCTATACTGGTTAGTCAAAATATTAATTTTTTTCTACAATCCTTATGTGTCCTTAGTCCATCAGAGAAACACAACCACTATTTTTAAAACATTCCTTTAAGATTAAGGAGCATTTGTAATTTAATTGTTGTAATTGCTATTTTCAGAAGCCAAAATACTGCTTATTTTGCACTTATTACATTAGAACTACCGGAGACAGACAGCTGAACGCTGATCTGAAGTTTGGGTGCTGCCAATATTTACAGAGAGACAAAATTAATAAACCAGTTGATGTCTGCTAACAGTGGGGGTTTTTTTTGTTTTGCTTTTAAGCACTGCAAGTCTAGGATATATTCCAATCTTTATTCAGGCAGAATGACCAACTGAAGTCAACAGAAGCTCAGCAGTATATAGATCACTGTAGCCTAATACAAGGTATGTTTAAGTCAATGCGATTTTTTCCATCAGTTTAAACACATTCTGAATTTTGTCCTAAGACCTTTTACACTGATCCCTACATACTTCCTGGAAGACTTAGAGGCTTGTACAAAAAAATATATATTGTTAAGCAAGTTTTTTTGTATATAAAATATCAAGTGTTCACAAGGGGAATTTTGAATATACTTAAACCCAAGTAAAACAGGATTTATTTATTTTATTATGTAATTATTTTCTGAGTCTCCAAAGACTGACAAAGAAATAAAAGAAGAATGCAGATGATTATAAATGATAAGGCCAATGCAACTATATTAGACTTTAAAAATCACAGTTAAAACACAGAAAATGTGTTTGGCTTGGAAGGAACTGTCTGACCTTAGAACCAATCTCCTGACAAAAAACGCTGATTAGATTTTTCGTACAGTTACAACCTTTACAGGTATTTCTATGAATTAACTACAACAGTCACGAGTCTCAGACTCTTTACTGAACAGAATAAATGAATGAGTTTTTTGGTAGTGGCCAGTGCTGGTTGAATTCTGCTCTCACCTAAAGGCCAAATCATTTTATCAGGCCAAATCATCCTACCTACCTGTTCTCCTGTTTGCCGGTATGTAAAAAGCATTCTGAGAATAAACATAAAGCATTTTATATCATTTTTCTACATTACATTTTCATAAGAATAAATGCATAATGCTGAAAATACCAATATAATTCTCTTGTCTCGGCTAATAGTGGGCATAAAAAGCATTTCCGGATAATATTATTGCTTTCTAACCTCAGCTGGCTGCTGCATAGTGAGCGAACGCCCTGCACTACAGATCCCTAGAGCTGGATGAATAATGGCAACTTCTGAAATTTCCACCTTGACGGTCTTACAATTAGCGATTGAACTATGAATAGTACATTGATACATTATTTCCAAGTCAATGTGGGAAGCTTATTATGTTCAATTTAATATATTATCTTCACAGTGACATTTAAGTAACATTTCCTAATGACAAGTCAAAATTTTAAGAGGTCAGATGTTTTGATTACTCAAAACTCATTTGTGAAAGAAAACACATATTTTTTAATTGTTCACAAATATTTTAAGTATTGTTTATAGATGGAAAAGAAAAAATGGCAAGTGGAAAACATTCCCTACCATAATCCAGTGTTACTGTCGCTTGTGTGTTACATGCTTGTGTAGCTGAAATAGGTTAGAACAGTTTCTAGGTAAAGGTCAGAACCTGCTCTTCTGTGCTGGAACACTGCTCAAAACAAATATGTTCCCCAGAGCTCACAGAGACCATTTGGCTATTTTTAATAACCTTCTCTGTCAGTTCTTTGAATCATATTTTACAAATATCTTGCTTTAACCTTACTTGCAATTACTGTGTTATTTGAAAGCATATCATGTTGACCTTGGTTTGCTGAAAAAAAAAGAGAGCAATGTATTATTTTGCATTTGCTAAACCTCATACAAGCAAACAGATAGTCAATTTTCATGCTTGCAGACAAGTATTTTCAAGGTATGTTCTCGTTTAAAGTATAAATGGATCAGAAACTAGCTTTACAGAACTAGCTATTTAATAATTTACTTTTAAAACCAGACAAAGGCAAAAGCAACCTCATTTAAAAAAAAAAAAAAAAGAGTTACTCTTTCAGAACTGAGTGCGATGTTCTTAATAATGATGGCAATATTTCATAATACTATCACAGTCTGCCACAGAGCTGAATTCTATTATGGCCTATCAGATTTGTGCAATTTCACTGATTACAAGAGGATAACTAAGCTAGAGTAACTAAGTTAGTTAAAGGTAAAGGGGCTTGCAAAAAGTGACACGCTCTGAAGTATGTTTTTGTCACAGAGGAACAATATTTAAGCAAACTTTTCTTTTAGAAATGTCATCAGATTTGGTTTCACTTTTAATTGTGGTGTTAAAAAAAAAGGTACTTTGCAATACTTGTTTTACAATTAAAATATATGTTGCTGGGTTTTCTTCCCGATAAGCTTTTAATCTGAATGTCTCATACCAATTTTTAGCAAACAGAGAACTAATTGAGAAGATGATTATTACAAAGAGCAGGATGGTTTTGGCTGGAGCACCTTATATATTATTCTTTATTGTTAATTTCACAAAACAGGCACAGCTCATAGTCTACGTAGAGCTACCAGTAATCAGCTATACTTAATGAACCATTTACTTATGGATAGGCCAGTGAAAATATTGTTCATTTTCCAAGCTGCAGACATATTTCCTGTGTTCTGCCAATTAGCAACAGACTACCCAAAACAGAGGTAGCTTTAGAGTTAAAACACATCCAGTACAGGACTAAAACAGAAGGCAGTCTGTTACCTGCCAAGTATTTGGACTCCAATCACATTTTTGAGCATATACAAATCAATCAATAAATAAAAACTGGCTAGAAAGTTTTTTGGTTTGGTGGTGGTTTTTTTTTTCATTAATTACACTCTTTATTGCAAAAATGCAACATAATATCTTACATTTAGCTTTCATTAATTTTGAGGTCAAGAGAAATTAGGAAAAGTTTCCTCATTGATATGTTCTATATGTAAAATTTTACTTTTTTTATACTTCCATTTATTTATTTACACAAAACTTCAATAAATCCTAGACTAATTCCTTCATTAGCATCAAATTAATTTTCAGTGTTATATTTTTAATCATTTTGAAGACACCCAGAAGCCACTTCTTCACCAGCACATGAAAAGGAGAAGGTGGTGCCCCGAGCCTGCTACCTCTGAAGTCAACAGGAGAAAAGACAATAAAGTTTTACACATTTTGTGTTAATATATTACACATTACACAGTGTTAATATATGGATAGCTGGAGAATTACTCAGTCTGGAGACAAAGCTTAAAAAAAAAACTCGGGAAAAGATAAAGAAGAAAAATAATTTCATATGATATTAGAATCAGCATGTTTTACTTACCATGTGCTCTGAGACATTTGCATTTCTATTTATCAGAAGCGTAAAACTGTTCAGCTTTATATAACTATTTTCACTGTATTACCGCCACATTAAGAAAAATATGAGACGATTTTATTGAAGACGCAACTATCGGCATTGAAAGAAGAAAATTATACACGTCTGCGACAATACATGTCTACCATGATAGATGGCAGCCCCTTTAAGCACCAGTCACACACGCTGACGACGAGACACTGCTTACATGTTTGTATTAGCAGTTGACGTCAGCCACTCCCCAGCCAAGCCAATAATGTCCAGCCCTGTGGACAGCTGATTGAAAAAGCGAGGGTGACCTGGAAAGAGAATTGAGAGCAACTTAGAATAACTCCACCGGTACCTCTCAGGTTTCAATTTTAACCCGCCCAACCACTCTGACACAAACGACAGCCCCGCGCCCCTAACAGGCCTGCAGCGAAGTTTTCAAAGCAAGTCCTGCTTGTCGGGAGACCGACGTCCGCGGATGTCTTGTTACAAACTTGAAAAACCGCTTTGGAGGGAGCTCCTCTATGGAATCATTGGGGTTTAATTTAAAGGAGAGAACCTCAGAGCCGACTGAGCCTGTGAAGCACCTCCGGAAACCTGTGCAAGGGCTCGGGCTAGCCCGTCTCCAGAGGCCCCCCCCCGACCTCCGCCGTGCTGTGAACTCGGCGGGGGGGAGGAGGGGGGCGGGTGGTACTTAGCAGTAACAACCTGCAGGTGCTGGGGCCATTTGCATTTGAACGGAGAAAGAGAGGAAGGCTCATCCGCTTGTAATTAGGCTGTAGGGACAAGGGAGGGGTGCGGAGGAGCCAGTCGCTTGCTGAGCTGCGCGGCCACGGGAGCGGGGCTTCGCGGGGTCTCGGCGGGAAATGCCCCCGTGCGGCGGGACCCGCTGCAGCGGGTCGCTGAGAGCCCCCCAAGAGCCCCTCGGCACGGGCGGTTCCCCCACATGGTTTAAAAGCTAGGGTTCACCTCGTAAACAAAGGCTTTGCTATCAAACCGAAGTCAATAATTTCCTGTATTTCAGCCAAGGTTGCTTTAACAACTTTTATACGCAATAAGCCCGGCTATTGGGGGTCTACTTTTCCAGCATGAAGAGATGAAATTCCTAACAAATGATAACGGGCTTTGAGGGGAGGGGGAAGGTGTCACGATTTAGCCCTTAACTCCGCTCTCTTGGGAAAGGACACGCAGATAACACACTGGGGACAGCCCGGCCCCAGAGGAGGGTTCGGCGCTCCACGCCCGGAGGGACCCTGTCACGTCGCATTTGGCTCAACACTGGGAACATCAGCATCTTTTGACATAAAGAAATAAATGCGATTCTGCTCCGAGCGGTGTGGGATCATTTTGCTTGGGGAATCCTGCCGGCGCTGCCACGTCTGGGCACATCCTGAAGCGGAGGCTGCCGCGGAAATCGGGGGAACACGGAGGCGAAGCGACCGGGCTGCTCCCGCCCCGGGGGACCCAGCGGTTCAGGGCTAAAGTCCAGAAATATCACCATGGCTTAGATATTTGCTTTGCAAATCAGCACTTCTCTCCCTTGCCATGACACAGAGTTTGAGAAGTTATTTTAAGAGACATTTCGCTGACCTCCCAAAGCTGTCAGCGAGCCGGCGGTCTCCTGAGGCTGGGCTGCAGATTCAGCCCCGCTGGCTTTAAAGGGAGCTTCGGCTGGAGAGAGAACGTGAGCCCTTGGGGCCCGGGAAGCCAGGGCGTGTGTCCTGGGTCGTCACACGGTCCGAGCAGCTCTTCTTTAAAGCTGCACCAGGTACTGCTTTGAACAGAGCTCGTGTCTGATCGGCTACCTGCATCTCAGCTCCCGGGGAGAGGTCCTGTCGGTCCCGCAAAAACTCCAGGGGAGGTCGGGGCGAGGGGAAGAGATTGCTCGACGTCCCGGCGCGATCGATAGCGGAATAACGATGCAAGCCCACAGACCGCAGTGACTGGCTTTGCTGCTGGCCACCTGTTCAACAACCCACGGGGCTGGGAGCGAAATACGCTCCCCTTCGATTAAGGGCACAAAATCAAAATATGCCCCTGACGCTCTTGAGTAAATCAAACTACCATGTGAATGGGAAAAGACAGGAAGCTAACCGCCACAGTTGTTGTTAAGATTTTGTTCCTCGAACGCACCGCGTTGGCTTTTCACAGCCGCACAACTGAACAGTGGAGAAAGCAGCGCCCCGTCCTTCAGGAGCCATTGCTCGCAGCTGCCTACCCAGAGGCTGTCAGACAAAAGCCTCCCTCTACGAGCTC